GGGGGGTTAGTATCATTGAAAATATGCTCACTTCACATTAACCAAATGTTCCATAACACAATAGCAGAGTAGGATAGAAGCTCAAACTTCCTTTCTTTCTGAACAGAGCAAACTTTAACCCAGTCCTTAAATCACAATTTAAAGTTTTGATCCTCCCTTTGAGTAGAGAATCTCAGGTTCAATTGGCTTCCAAACCAACATGCTTGCATATTCACATGAGCAAAGGCAGTGGTAAGCAGATTCAGCAGCAGAATGACAGATAGGGCATTGAGAACTTTCTGAGATTTTTCTCCCAACTAAATTCTCCCTGACAGCTAAACTATTCAAACAAGCCTTTCAGATGAAGGTTTTAATTTTTGGAGGGACTTTTAGGTTACATAAAGTGGACCACAAATTTTTATCTTCAAGATTATCCCTTTGAGACAGAGGAGAGCTTTGCTTGGCCAGGAAATAAGCCCATCTAACAGAGAATAAGCCCCTTTTATCGGCGGTCCAGATAAGATCATCCTCCCTCTCAAAGTGGGGGAGTTTGATTGCAAGAATCTTCTCTGAGACTGTAGGAAGGAAGTTGTTTGAGATTAGGTCTGCCTTCCATGATCTAGAGTTGTGGTCAATTAAGTCACTGACAAAGGTGATTCTCTCATTCTCAATTCTTGGCCCTTGAATCCTAAAACCAGGTAGCCCCGGGACCCACGGATCCTCCCACACCACACCAGAATATCCTTACCTGACCCTACTGTCCAACATACCCCTTTTTTTGCAGCAATTCCCTCCCTTGCAAAATACTTTGCCAACCCCAGGATCCGGAAGGGGAAAGAACATCATTTAGAAAAGATTTGTTCCTTATATATTTTCCCCTGATTTTTTTTTAGGTCGAAATTTTCCCCTGATGATTTTCACCCAAAGACTGTCTTCCTTTCTTGCTACTCTCCAATCCAGTTTTGTCAGAAGAATTTTGTTGAAAATAGCAGGTTTCTACTTATTTGGTTCCACCCTACCCAGTTCACCTTTTTAGGGAGAATGACCGTTCAGCCCAGGGTCAGAATTCATAGGCCTAAAGTACATTTGGGGTAGGTACTAGGTGGGAATTGATACCAATTCATGGACGGATATGAATGCATAAGGTGTGGGTTTTTGAACTTTTGAATGTTTATAAAATTGCAGCAGAATTCAGAATTCTGCATTAAGCCTGTCGTTACTTCTCCGTATTTTTTATTTTCTCATTTACCCCAATAGGTAGAGAGAAACATGACATAGCATAGGTCGAAATGGCACTTAGGACTGCCTTAATAAGGACTTCCTTGCCAGCTTGATTCAAGAGTTTGCTTCTCCAACCTGTGGTCCTTCTTTCAGGCTTTTCTATAATGAAATCAAAAAGCTTGAGTTTAGACCTGCTGAAGGAGGGAAGGCCCAGGTAGACAGAGGGTTTTTTCACCAATTTAAAATTAAAATTCCTTGCCAGCAGTTTTTGGAGTCTATGATGCACATTTGAACTGAAAGAAATTTCAGATTTGACTCTTTGGCATGTTTTGTACAAAGTGGCCGCTCTCAAACTTGAACTTTGTTCTCCCACTATCAGCTTGAAATTTTACTATTGAATGAAGCAATAGCTGCTAAACATGGTTCACACAGATGCAGGTAACAATCTGATGGTAGCTAATACTGTTATGATTTTTTTTTTGTTAACAACACTGTTATAATTAAAACCATTTGAATCTCTCATACGCACTAACACAAAATTAATTCAGCAAGTGGATAACCTTCAAGATGTTTGCAATTTCGGTCATAATATAAAATTGTAGTCCTACAAAAATTACACCAATTTAACATGCCAAATAAAATGAGATTGACATGACTAATGAAAATTATCCTCATACAAATCTTTTGACTTGATTAGTTTGATAAGCAAAATTATATCATCTCAACCTTCAACCTTCAACCTTCAAACCCTAATGCTCAGACTGTTCTTTGAGTTAGACTTGTGTTCTCTGTTCTAAACGGAACAAGGACTCTGCCATGTGGATATGTCAGTAATAACCACTCGAAGCTGATCTATGAGAAGCTTGAGATGCTTATGCTTATTTGCAAGCTCCTACATTCAAAACAAGAGAAAATCAAATGAATCAAATGTTACAAACGGAAACTTTTTTTTATGAGAACTCAATAAAGAAAGCTGGTTTCTCATGTATCTATAATCTACCATACATTAAACTTATGACCTAGGATATAAAAATAAAAGCATGACTTAGGTGACAAACTAATAATTAGTTCAAGATGAGAGGGCGCATAAGGCCATAACATCTGTTTAATGCATGACTGATAAAATGCATAAAGTAGAATATCAAACATGGTCTTATTCATGTAACATGGAAATTTTGTGTTATGCATGACTTATAGAATGCATCAAGTGTAATATTAGTTTGAATTAACTAAAAATGTCTTCGGGTTTTATAGAAACATAGACAAATTTTTCCCCTATTCCCTAATAGCATAACGAAATAGGAAAGTTGGTATGCTTGCTGAACGGTCACACCCATTTTCTGAGTTGTCCACAGATGGACCCTGCATTGGATGGGTTCATAGTCCCAAAAGCCCAGTGCTACCAACATAAGTTAACCACCCAATTAATAGACTAACCCACAAGCACCGACTTTTATGTATGCAATGAATCAAGAAAGCTGGTTCTACTATCTACCATTTTCTGGTGTGTAGTAATGAACGTATTCAGAAAAAACAGGGCAATAAAACTATCACTAACTTTGCATCCTCTAACATATCATACAGAATAATTTATCGGCCAATAAACTAGCAAGAAAAGCAGTTGGGAGTGAATAGCTGTATTGAGGAGCCAACGGTTCGGGCTATATCTGTTTATGGAATCTGCTTTATTTTTCTTTTTTTTTTTTTGATTAATTGTGTCAATAAAAATCATTGTGCCTCGTTCATCCATCTGTGGATTGGATAAGGTGAGTGTATCCTTTTCAAACATCATTCTATTTCAGCAATAAAGTTGTGCTCAAGGTTTCTACTGAAAATTCCGAAATGATTAGGAGATCAATTATTGTAACATTGAAATTTGTAAGTTAATAATATCATGATAGCTGTTAAAGGTTTTACAGAACCTCAGCCTATCTTCAGCCAAGAAAAACAAAGGGGGGAAAGAAACTCCCGAGCGCATCCAGGCATTAAACTGTTTGGACTTCCTTCATCATCATCATCCAAGCCTTATCCCAACTATATGAGGTCAGCTTGTTTGGACCTCCCTATGTAAAAAAAAATGCCATTATCCAATGTTGGTCTTAGGCTCCCAGCTCAGCTCCCTAGGATCTTCGGAGTAGACTGGATATGGACTAACCTTTGGCATTTTTTTTTTGAACAAAGTGTTCTCATAATAGGCCAAATAGAACAGAACAAAATTATATGCTTACATGGAAATCAGGATGATCAAGAATCATTATCATCTACACCTCATCCCAACCATGTGGGGTTGGCTACACGAATGTTGTTTTGTCATTCCGTTCTATCTAGTGCTATACCCATTGTCAAATTAGGAAGACGAGGAATCTACAACAGTAATATCAGCCTCTTAACAACTAACATTATCCAAGAATCCCAAGCAATATAAAAAGCAGATCCAAGAAGATAAATAGTGATGGTATTAAACACTGATCAGGTATAAACATAACAAATATAAGGGTCTCAAGAGGAGAAACACTTTAGCACTTTCCACTTATAAATGTTTAAGCCTTGCACAAAAATCATGCAACGATCAATTTTCAAGTCCTCCTAAACAACCCTCCAAATTCGAACACGTAGGAGAGTGTAAAGCAAATTCATGTTCGAGAATAATTGATAGAACATAAAAACTTAAAAAAAAAAATCTAAATTACCTTTCTTAAATTGGTGGCTCGCTCTTCAAGATTCTCGGTTTCCGCTTGATTTGCTTGGGATTCAGAACTGGCAACAATGGAACCAGTTTCATATGCTTTAGCCTAAATTGAGATAATCCACCATTGTAATGGTCACGGATGTAAAGAAATTAATAAAGAAGAGAAAATGAGAGAAGTAAAATTGATTAAAAAAATTCGTAACTCTTTCAATTCTTCTTCTTTAAATGAGCGATACGCATCGAGACAAAGGTTCTACCATCTTGTAATCAAGTTTTTCTGAATTGTAAAAGATCTAAAGAGGTTGTTTACAATATATGTATCTTTGTTTCGTTAATTTAACAAATCTTAAATTACCTGTTTAGGTAACCAACCAAAATGAAAAGAAAGTCAAGAGAATATTGGGAAAAAATCTGAAATTTAGGGTTTTGGTTCACCTTCTGGGAGTTTGGAATTGCAGAAAGGACAGCACGAAGCGAAGCGACAGAAGATTTATAACGAAGACGAGCGTCTTCAAGAGCACCACCGCCCATTTCTAAATGATGAGACGAATCCGCAGTATCGCCACTGACGATGCCGTTAGAAGAGTGAGCTGACACAGTTGTGGACCACAGGGCTGGGTTGCAGAGTTCGTCGTTCATGGAGGAGAGAATCTGAAATGCTGCTTCGATCGTGTCCTCCAGGTGCTTCAATCCCCCCGCCGCCAGTTCCTGCGTGCTTTTAACGTTCGACATCACAACTTTCTCTTCCGCCCATCATCCGCAGACCGTGACTTCGTTACAAAGCCTCATAATTTCAAATCGACGAAAAAATCCCTCCCTCTCCGACTCCGATTCTGAAACCAATTTGCAGTATACTTAGTAAAAGAACCAGTTTCACACTCACAATGAGCGCGTGATGGCATAGGCGCGTGGCCTACCGTTTTGTAGGACACGAAACAGGCAAAATGAAAAGCTTTCACCGACAGAAGGGTTCGAACCTGCGCGGGCGAAGCCCAACAGATTTCAAGTCTGTCTCCTTAACCACTCGGACATATCGACGCGATCTTGTAAATGAGTAGAATCATCAATAATTGATCGAATAATGAACATGCGCGGAATAGATAATTCTCTGAAGTCAAAGCCCGTTTGGGAGGATTGAAGCTTTGAGCCTTTGATTGAAGTACTTTCACAGACCGCTTTGAAAAAGCTACTTAAAATAAGTTTCACGAGAGAACTTTTTTTTTTTTTTTAATTGAACAATAGTATATTTGGCCTGGTTTTTCACCAAACATAGCTTATAGGCTGTTCGTGTGAGGCCTACCTCACAAAGCCAGAAGTTACTGCATGAAAGCCCTCCTAAACGGGCACTAGACTAGGGAAGACTTTGGCTGTTCAAGAGCTTTCTTCAAATTATACATTACCCTATTAAGATCCTTGCAATATTGCAATTAAACTCATTGTAATGTGTGTATACAATAAACTCCCAAACAGCCCATTCTATTTTTTCTAAATAGTCAAAAATTTTCCTCCTAAGCCCTGATTATCCCCTACATTTTTTTTTTTTACAACTTTCTCTTGCACTTCTATCTAGTATGTGACAAGTGTTTCCTATAGATCTATATTATATACTTAAAAGGCAATTGTCCATTGTCAACTTACTCCACTTGCTTCTCAACCCCCCCCTCCCCCCTTAGAATTTTTTTTGGTTTTTATGAATTAAAAAATAAAAATCAAAGCACTATTTAAATTCATCCACAATCAATTCACTTCCCAAAATCAAATATGGACATCTTTTAAACACCAATCCATGCATTACCCCAATTTCTTCTAATGATTATATAAAGGGCTAATTATTTATATATTTCAAAAAACTATTTGTATATACCTTATAAAAATGCCCCACATAGCACAAAATAGGCCTTAAGAAAACATTTAGGATTGTTTTACATGCCCATTAACTTTTTTCATAATCCCATTTTTTTCTTTCTTCTCAACAATTTCTTCCCCACCAGCTCCTCTCTCTCTCTATCTCTTGTTCCTTTAAATTGAAAGCCCTCTTTGTTCTAGTTTCGAAGGATGTCCATCACTGCTCTGAAAACACCATCATCTACTTTTGGTGATGTTTGTAGCAATGGAGAAAGTGAGGGAAGAATAAGAAGATAATATACATGTTTTGAAAATTTAATAAACAATTAAGGACCAAAGAATTAAGTACACTTTGGTCCTTTAGGTTTTATTGTTAGATTAGTAATTAATTGTGTGCATTACATGTATGATTTTTTTTTCATATTAATTACTTGAATTTTAGATATATCATAGTTAAGATAGAAATTGAAAATTAATAAAAATAACAATATGATCAAAAATAAACTTAAATACTTATATTAAATGTGCACTTGCAGAAATTTTAAATTACAACAACAACAACAACAATAATAATAATAATAAAAATAATTATTATTATTATTATTATTAGCTTTGCTTTCAAATCAATTTTAAATTATATATTTCATCAATATTATATAAATAATTTTTACTTATCACACTTAATTTTTGTTTGGTGTAATTAATATATAATTTTGTATATATTCTTTTGATTACATTATATCTTATGTATAATATTTTTTTTGTGATTTTTTGTATTTTCTATTTTTAAAAATTTTATTATCATTTCTAGGTTAATTTTAATTTTGGCATTCCATTTTGATCATTTATAAAAATACTTCTTACATTTCATACTTATTTTTGTTCAGTATAATGAATATACAATATTAGTGACATGCCCAATTCTTTTTATTTTTTGTATTATATATTTTATTTATTTTAATCTTTTATTACTTAATTATGACATTATTTATTAATGCATTTGACCTCAAATTTGAATTGCTTACCCACCACCGAGAGGGAAGAAAATTGTTTTGCTTTCAAATTATTTTTCAAAATAGTTATTTTTGTATTATTAAAATTAATTTTATGGGTTTAATTAGTAGAATTTCATGATGAGAAAAATACATCTTAAATATAGGATTTAATAAGAGAATATACCTTACATATGAGATTTAATGAGAGATAATAGGAAATTAGTTTTACTTCCAAATTCCAATTGGCTTTGAATTTTACATTCCATTTCCATCATTAATAAAAATATTTCTTATTTATCATCAATGTTTTTGACATGTTGATTTGGTTGATTGAACCGTTCAAACCATCACTCGACCTTGATTCTCAGTTTGGTTCTGTTGAAACTCCACGTTTCAGTTAAAATCCGTCTAACCCAGGTGGTTCAACCACTGACTTGTTCGACCTAGTAAGTAGGTCGTAGGTTGCACACTTAATTATGTGCAAACTTTTTGAAGCCATAACCTTGCACTTTGATGTTCGATTGGAGTTATCTTTTTTTTTTTCTTTTTTTTTTGAGTAACTTTTCAAGATCTATACATTCCAAGGACCTTAGGCACCTTACCTTGCTATTTTTGCGAAAAAACCCCTTTTGTCCCCAAATTGCAAATTTTAATATTTTTTATAAATAAAAAAATTAAAAATTGAATTAAAAAACATAAATAAATGTAACATAATACATATATTATATGTAATTAATACATGTAAAACATAATTATACTATTTATTGATAAAAGATGTATTTTTACACACACACACACACATAGTGTTGACACATAGCGGTTTGACTCGTTTGACCTTGACAATCAAACTGGTGACCTATGACCCAAAAAATGGGTTAGCCTCTAGGTCGATTTTTAAAACATTGTATATCATACTTATTATTGTTTAATATGTCAAATATATGATGTTAAAAACGTTCCCAAATTTTTTTAATTTTTATATTTTTTGTATTTTATATATTTTTAAATTTTATTATTTAATTGTGACAACATGGATTAGATCATTTGACCAAAATAGTTTAATTTCTTACCACCACCTAGATGACAACACTATTACTTTAAAAGTATAAGTTTTTATGTTATTGAAATTATTAATTTATTATGTATGGATTTAACTATAAAATTTAATGATGAGAAGAAACGGAAAAGCCTTAAATATATGATTCAATGAAGGTGAATGCAAATTAATACCTTAAATGTTGGATTTAATGTGAGAGAATTGAATGCATTGAATATCTTAAAATAGCTTATTTTCAACTCATTTAATATCAATAACCAATTACCCTATTTGTCCTCATTTTTTATCAATAAATTTAAATATAAAGGGGTAAATTTTGTCTTCAAAAAAATTACAGAAATATTCTTGAGGTTATTTGTACTTTTTTAAAGTAGTATAGATATAGATATAGATTTAATGTTTGAAAGGTCCACAAGGTATGTGTAAATACTTTTTGAAACTAAAAATTATATTTTCTTAGAAGGCAAACCACATGGTATATATAAGTTTCCTCAAACCTCAAGGTATATACAAGTAATTAACCATGATCTATTTGTCCATTACTATATATATAGCATATACTTGTCTTAGTTTACGTGAAGGTAATAAAATTTTAATTTGATTATATAACGTTAACTTATATTTTTATCCAATACTTGCACATATGCATATATTGCCAAACTTGAATGAAACTATAGGAGATCATGCCCTAACTCAAAACGCACGATAAAAGCTTTTTTATTTTTTTTATGAAAGATGGTAAATTATTAGAAATCAAAGAGCAATAGATACAAGCATATCGTGCTCAACTAAACTTTAAATCAAGCCTTATTTTCCACATCGCCATGAAAGTTGGGAAGCACTCGTATAGGTTGTTTTACCACCCCATGAACCACCATATTTGAAAATCTCACGTAATGCCAAAATCTAATAGTAGAGAATCTCGACACCATGTCAATGATGTCCCTAATTTGAGGAGAGAACGAGGAAGACTTTACCTACTTAGTTTCTTGATTGATATTTGTAGAATCCACCTCTACAATTAAATTCTGAAACCCATCTAAGTCAGATCTACTAATTAGTTTTTCATTTTGAATCTTGGGTTTGGATGGTTGGGATTAACCAATGCGATGTTTGGTATCATTGTCATTTCCTCAGAAATTGATGCCACGTCACTAATCCAAAAATTACCAATGAATTTCGTATTTGGTTGGTCGATTTATGAGAAATCAGAAAATGATTATTAAAATTGGGCCTAAAAGGAATCACCATTTTTTTATGACTTCTCTTCTCTAGTTGATTTCAATTTTTTTTGGATGATGTGACATCTAACATGGATAAGAGAGATAGTTCACATAAAATAAAAATCAATATTGATAAGAAGTACCAAACAAACTTTTTGAAATATCAGTGATTAATGAAAAATCTCATTGGAGGATCGACAATGGTACCAAACAACACCCAAATGGCCTTCCACCTTCACTGGGGGTTGGGTTGGGGTGGGAGGGTTATGTGCTTAGGGGATAGGTTGAAACATTAGATTAGTCATAAAAAACATGATCTTCGGTGCTTCCCACCCCTTGAAAAAAGGCATATTATCCAACTCACCATGACTTTTCAAAACCTTCAAAAAACCCTCCGTGAGTTTTATTGTCTAAAACTCACCTCCCTTAAGATTTCCTTTAGTGATCATTAATAGAAGTCCAAGTAAGCATTTAAGTAATTTACATGACCAAACTACCCTTGAATGACCAATCAAGTTTATTAAATATTTTTATAACAAAAGTTACCCCTAATTGGCCATTCAAAGGTAATTTAGTTATGAAAAATATTTAATAAACTTGATTGACCATTCAAGAATAGTTTGGTCATATAAAATATTCAAGGGAGAATGATCAGTCCAGGTCAGAATTTTTTAGCCCCATTATATAAGGGGATGAATCCTGACCGTGGATTGATGCCAAATCCACGAAGAGGATGTGGTTTATAGGGGAACTACTACTAGACTATGGGGGGTTGTAATTTAAAATTCTACATTGAGTTACAGTGTATTTAGCCCAATACTCAAATACTTATGTGGACAACTTCTTTTAACAATTTGTTTTTTTTTTGTAAGAAAAAAAATCTATTAACAATAAATAAATGAATTGAGCTAACTGAAATTCTAAAGGTTTTGAAAAGTCAAGATAAGTTTAAGAAAAATGTCAAAAAAACATGTTGAATTTTTAGATTATATCCGAAAAAGAAAGGAAAAAAAAAAAAACAGTATGATGAGATGATATTTAACCATATGACTTGGGCTCGTAGAGGCTATTCAAAAGCACCTATACACACACATATATATATATATAAAGCAGTAATTGTTTTGGTCTTCTGTGCATGTGATTACGGTAGGACCTATTGCTAGAACCATGGAATAGGTAGGAAGCTATGGGTTCTGCAAGTCAGTCACGTACGGTGGTTTTTTTCTCCCAAGAGGCTAAGACTCTAAAATCATAAACCATGCCCAGAGCCAGAGGGGTCCAGAGTCCAGATCCAGCGGGCGGTTGGATGAATGACCCGTGATCCAGTGCCCATGTCTTTAGAGAATCAGAAAGCGCGCCCAGTTTTCTGTTGCCTGGGCTGATTCCAAAGTTCATGGGCCCGCTGCATTCTGAAACCAGAGCAGTTGCAAAGACATTGCCCATTCCTAATAGTAATAGCTAGAGATATCCTATCAGATATTAGGACAGGGGTTAAGAAGAGTTAAGACAGCGTCAGAGTTTTGATATGGGCTTCTGAACTGTGCTTCATGAAAAAAACCCAAGAACGAACAGTAACACTTTTACATAAGGCTGCTACTTTTGCAGCTGCAGCTGCAGCTGAAGCCTAAGCTTTCCCTATTGCTGCTGGCCTGGACTGGAGTACATTGATTCACCTGTCCCAGTAAGCGAGTACCATCACAACACGTAAGTCCTTGGCTTATACCAACATGATCTGGGGCACCTGAGCCCACTGCCTGTGGCCAAGGTTAGAAGTATCGCACCCACTGCCACTACCCATTGGGTTCCGAAATGGATTTGGAGATTAAGCAAGCCAGGCCCGGGATTCTGCTTCAAAATCCACAACACAACATACCATATTTCTATGAATCTCCATGTAAATAATTGCAAGTAAGGAAAGAGTAGTAATGCATAATATATGAATGTGAGATGATGATAGACTGGCCGCCTCTCTTTAGGTGGGCCCACGTTTAATTGGTATGTCTTTATCATCTAAGCGTGCAACATGTGGCAAAGTTGTGTTACCAAGGCCTCGGTTAACCCAGTTTGCGCGTAGTCGGTCACATGATTCCCCACCCCACCTTTAAAAAAAAGAAAATCCTGAATTCCTGATCCATACCATAGGAATTGTTCCCCTACACCTTTATTTTGTTTGTTTTTTTGGAAAGCACCAAATACCTACACAATATAATTTTTTTTGGCAAAAAAAAAAATCGATCGGATATATCATCGAGTGCAATACGATGAACTAAATTAATGCACTTTATCCATCCAATGAATTCCTACCACACATACAAAAGCAGTGTGGTATGAGGACGTTGCAATTATTGGCCCACGACCTTGCTGCACCTTTTATTGTGAAAATTACAGTTTTGGGTTGGGGTGGTGACACTTCACACTTGGGCCTCAACATAATGTTAGTTAATGGACTTAAACTTAATGTTGATTTGCGAGAATATAGGGTGGTAGATCATCCCAATTCCCAAGTTCAGAGTACCGAGTGCCTCCCTGTTTTCCCCTTCTTATTGATGGCCCCCTGGGTTTCTTTCTATTTCGCTTAAATATCATGTTTGGAATCTTTAACAGTTAAGGCTTATAGCCCAACCACCCAGAGAAGTTGAGGACTTGAAGATCCCGGGCTCAGGAAAAAAAAAATCAAGGTTTAGGGGTTGATGTTAAGCCATAAGTGGGGCTTTAAGAAATACAGTTAAATGTACCTCAAGGTGGTTACAAGTGATGAGATGATTCGGAAAGGGAAAGCCTGACCCTGACATGGAAGAACTATCAATATCAGGCTGTAGAAATGGCATTTAGGATCACCAAGTCCCAATTATTCCAATAAATCCAATATTCCATATCTACTTCGTTGCTCTCTTTTGCATACTTCCTTGCTTTCTTCTGACCATCACAAACTGTAGTCACAATCTTTTTTTTTTTTTTTTTGCTCCATTTGTTAGATCAGAAGAATACAAGTAAAAATACTAACGCAATCTGAAAGAAATAAAGGGAGATAAAACAAAATGACATCGATACTGCAGCCGGACAGAACGGCTGATTATCTATAAGGATACAGTAACTAATGGTTACAATGGTTTCTTTATTTGATCTGAACCATGAAAAGCCAGATCAGAAAGAAACTATAAAGAACTAGGAAGAATAAAAATAAGTGAACAGTTTAATCCTGATATCTTTATTGCATTGGACGTATGATACATGTTGATTCATCCTTCTTGTTTTGCCAGGAATTGAAAAAGAAATACATGTATTGTCTTACCTGTACTGAATTAAACTATAATACATCCCTGATTCTTAGAGGGAAAACAAAAAGAATTAGTTATATCCTCTTCACCCCAATTTCACTCTTACATGGGGTAGAAGTGCTTGTGTCCACTGTACAATTCTCATGACACACCCAAGTTCACAGGGTGCATTGCCGACATTCAAGAGTTGTAACTGTGAATGTGAACAAAAGATGTGTAGTCTTTGAGGAGGTCCTCAGACTTTAAACTCAAGCCACCTAAGCTGATTCAAGTCAACACAAGAATCTCTTATGCTCTGCTTGCAAGATAGATTGCAGGTTCACCGGTTCCAAACCCAGGATGGAAGGGACGCATAGATACACTCACAGTTAACAACTGGATATTTCTTTTTTCCCTGGAAGAAACCCAAAACAAGCTTTAGCAGTTTACCACTGAGTATAAAAATAATGCTGCTTTAAAGTTCAAATGAATGAAATCTTTGATTTGAGGCTTTCAGAGAATGGACAATTCAATCAAAGCAAAGGTTTAGGGAAGTCATGAATAATCATGATATATTACCCCATAAATCCAGACATTATTAGCCAAGTGCCCATAAAGTTCAACATGATAGAAGTTTACGAGTCAAATGAATTTCCTAATGCATCTCGATCTGGACTAAGCCTTTTTAACCAAACACGCGCACACACGCGTACACACACACACACAAAAGAACAAATGAACGAATGAAAAAGAAATAATAAAAACATGATCAGCCAGACACTTATGCTGGCATCGTACAAGTTACACCAGCCTAGTTACGGTGATGATTACTTCCACAAAGCCAAAATCATATTAAAGGTCAAACATTTGAAAGAGAACCCTGACTTAGTCACACTGCATGGAGTAGATGTTCGGATAACTCAAGAACTTATTCCAGTTGAATGTCAGCCTCCATTTCACAATGTAAGAACTAAGTTTGGGCTGGCAAGCATGAGAATGCAGGTTCGAGTCTGAGGTGACTACTATGTGCAAAAAATAACAAAGGTTAGGACCGCTACCCAGTCTACCCCTCCCAACACCCTAAATAGCTGGGACCAACATTGGGTAATGACCCAACACTTGAATATGGGGTCAAGACAACCGTTTCATGAAATATCCTAATCATCCAAGTGATCCTAAAGAAATCTTTGCTGATGGGTCAAATCTGAATGGAAGTACAAGGTTATAATTTTTTGGTTTTACATTCCATTTGCTATATATATATAAGGAGAGAAATAAAGGATTATTTGAAGAAAAGAACACTGTTGAAACGCTCACAGCAGAGATTGGCAGAATAATCATGATCTGGATTCTTATTCTACCTGAATTTTCCAAGACTACTGGAGAGAACTTTTGCATCCAATTATTGGTCTAACATTGAATGAACTGAATGCTTCGAGTCTTATATTTTGTGTTGTTATTATATAGTCTTTCTTGCTTTGGTTTTGTTGTACTTGGTCTTTCTCTTTTTCTATTTTTTTTTCTATTTACCACATAAAGGCTACCATTTCATGAAAAAATGTGTTTAAGTCTGACCACATTGTGCACAAGAAATGCTGAAGGTTAGATCCATATCCAGTCCACCCCTCCCAAGACCACATATAGCTGGGACCAACATCACCTTTATCACCAGAGTAAATGGTCATGAAAATTGCACTTTTGGTCCAAAAAGTTAGGTTATATGGTTAGGAACTTAGGATGGACATGGATTTTGCAGGTGAGACCCAAGTCTACTGATAACATAAAATCTGCAAATGGCAGGTCATGAAGCAGACTTCTACCTGAAACGAGTGATATGAAATGATGCATTCTAAATTTCTAATGTTTCCATTTGAAACTTTCCTTTGAAGGGCAGAAGAACTTGAGTTGAAAGAGAATATTTATGGAGTACTTACTCTTGAAACAACTGCTTAGGCATTCAAGTCCCAACAAGTTCTGAAGAATGACTGCTTGTGCAAATATCCTCATCAGCCTTCTCTTAAGTGCTCTTTAATGGGCACACAATGAATTGGATTTGAAAAAACGTGACACTTCTTGGTAAAGTTGTTCTCCTTCAAATGGTTTTGACACATAACCATCCATACCACACCTCAAGCACTCTTCATGTGTAGCCTGGATAACGTCTGCTGTCATGGCCAGTATGGGTATATGCCAGTTTGAAATATTTCTGTAAGCTTCTTTGGGTACTTTTCCATGTTGGATACGACCATTGATGTCATGTTCCATATCCCGAATTATTCTTGTAGCTTCAAACCTGGGGGGGATTGGAAACACTTCCATGTAAAAAATCATAACAGCGAAGCAATGAAACAACATTCATGGATAAAAGCTTATGGCACAATCTGAAAACAAAGCAATTAAAAGTCAAAGAAAATATGCTCATCAACAAGAAATCAAAGAAGAAAAGGTATAAGACAGTAAGAAAACTGAGAACAGTGTAGCGTTTATTATCTACATTCAGCATCCAGGTTTCAAACCTTGATGTTCAAGGGTACAGAAAAATGAGAAGTATAAGCAAGATGCGAAGACATCTGAACATCAACTTTTCCTGCATTTAAGCTATCTGAATCTGATGTTTTTTCAGATGGTGTTGATGCTAGAAGCCAGCCAACAATCATGAGCCTCAGGATTTCCTAACATCACACACCGGTAAATGGACAATTATGCACCCAAGTTATGCCACGATAGCATATAAATAATGGTGCAACTTGTGTACCCAATGTGAAGAATTTCCACTGCATTGGGCCGGGGCCTCAGGCCACACCCATTCCAAATTTAACAAATGCTCAAGCTGAGCCTGTCCAAGTTGTAACCCTACATACAAGTGAAAAAGAAACCATAAGAACATACATATGCAGCCAAGGATCTTAATCTCAATATGCCTGATACCCATCAGTGGGTATCAGTGCATATCCATATGACTGATACCATACTTTTTTATTTTTTATATTATCAGCATTATAGGGATTTAATCTATCATCCCAAAGTTTTAGAGTTTTAAAAACCTCTGTGTATTGGTGTATCCATGCATCTCCATTGTCACCGATATGGGGCATATCGTATCGATATTTTGATCCCTGTTTGCATCCAACTCTTATCCTTTATAGGGCCTACTTCCCTATACCATGGATATGGCTTCTAATCTATTGATCTAGCCTGTTTGGTTTCTGGCAGCACAATGGTTGCAAGAATACAAAAACAATAATCAATTATCTCAACCATCCTATGTAGAGATTGGACAAAAATAGAACAACAAAATTAGATTAATAGAGAAAAATAAGCAACATATTCTGTTGACTGTAAGTGCATTTGCCAAATATACCATCTAAGGGGCGACACTTTGACTAAAACTGGACCAAGGGGTTGGTGTCATGTGCACAATAAAGATGATTAGGCAAAAATTAAAGGCAGGAAGTTTCATCTTCTTAACCAATATGAACTATGAAAACTCATTACCCAATGCATAAAACCCCCCTATGTCATGTATGAAGGTATAGTACATAAGTAGGAAGCATACCCATCCATTTCTGGCATCTGAATATCCATGAAGCAGGCATCAAAATTATGGGGTGGCTTAAGCATTGCAATTGCCTTTTTCCCACTGTCAGCACAGGCCACCTCAGCTCCATACTTCTTCAAAGCATGAGCTGCAACTCTGAGGTTCACATTATTGTCATCTACTACCAAGATATGTTTGCCACAAAGAAGATTGCGAAGAGAAAGAACAGGGAGACCTCCATTTAGGCAATTTCCCTTGTTCCCCACACCCAAGGCTCGCTGCAAAGAGGCAGCCAGCATACTGACCCTCAGTGGCTTCATGATGACATTCGGTGTATACCCAATGGATTTTGGAGCACTAGTTTTTGTAGAGCTGATGGAATTAGCTAGAAGAAACAACTTTGGATAATCCACTTTGTCATTCTTCCTCAATTTGTTAATTAAAAGACTTGAGAGGTCAATATCCTTATCCCAAGCTTCTTTCTCAACAAGGACCATCGTGATAACTGCAGTCCCACTGCTTAAACTAGTGAGACCTTGATTCAGATCAGAAGCCACTTCCACATGGATTCCAAGACGTTGGAGATGATATATTGTCACCTTTGCCCGGATGGGTCTGGGGTCCACAACCAATGCTTTCATCCCCTCAAATTCTGAAGAAACAGATTTGGAGTGGTTATTAATTTGCTGTTTCTTGTACTTGTTTGAGTTGAAATGACCATTGGTGAAGACAGCAGTGAAAGTAAAGGTGGATCCAATTTGTGGTTCACTGACAAATCCTATCTCCCCCTTCATAAGACCAACCAAACATTTGCTTATACTCAGTCCAATACCTGTACCCCCATGAGTACGTGAAGTGGATGTGTGCACCTGCATAAAGGGAGTGAAAACACGAGATTGGGCTTCACGAGGGATCCCCACGCCTGTGTCCTCAACAGATACAATTAGGTTGATGGTTTCAGAGGAGGTAGACAGTGGAATCTGAGAACATGAAGGTTTCTCTTCACTGAATGCCTTGAAAGCCTCCCAGCTACGGCGTTTATCAGACACAGGAAATCCACTCAAGGTGTTCTTTGGTGAAGTTTCTGTCTCAACTTCTATTGATCCCATTACCTCCTCAACAAGATGGACAGTCACAAAAACATGCCCTTTCTCTGTGAACTGCAAATGACAAAATTAATAAGATTGAGACTTGACTATTTTATTTGGGTAATTAGAGTATGATTGAATAAAACTAAGATTCTTTTTTTATATAAAAAGAAAAAAAAATCATCTAAGAGAGACAATAGGAAATGAGTGGAACCAAGGGAACTTTGTAGTAGACTAACTAGCAACAAGATAACAGAAAGTTGTCAGAATGTTTAATCAACTGAAATGAAGATACATAATTCTGACAATTAAAAGTAACTCGGTGCAAATTGTAAGATCTAAAAAGGCAAGATAATGGCCAAAACAGACAAATTTTTGGGTGGATACAGAAGGTTTCACAACACATTCTTTAACAGATAACATGGCCTTGGAAAGAGTAGAAATGGGGGAATAGCACTAGTCTTAGCTGGAGTTACATAACCAGGACAATCCTGATGAAGATATTTTTCTGAAAGCACAAGTATGCTGAAAATACCATACCACAAAGAAAGGAGCAAATAAAACAACTGAAAACATAAGACAAGAAGAGCCTCTAATTAATAATTCTTTCAGGTTCATTTTGAAGCATTTAAAACTAATCTTTTATCAACTCCCAATTATCTGCCAATATCACCTAATGGTTCAACCTATTTTCAGACTTACTTTGATTGAATTGCCCATGAGATTGGTGATGATTTGCCGAAATCTTCCAGGATCACCAATTAGACTTTCAGGAACCCGATCAGAGATGTAGACTGCCAACTGCTCTCCCCAATAAATTTGCAGATGGAAGTTCCAAAAGTTCATAGGACAGAACACATTAGAGTTTTAGATTTCAAAAGTAGAAAACAAGAAGGCATATAAGGTTGGAAGCCATTTAATACCTCTATTCCCTTTTCTTGAGACTTTCCAGAAAAGAGTGACAAAACATCATCCAGAATTGCACGCAAATCAAATTGGACAGCCTCAAGCTCAAGCTTACCAGATTCAATCTTGGCTTGATCTAAAACTTCATTTATAAGTGAAACCAGAGCTTTACCACTGGCTTGGGCAGTTCTGACATAATCTTGTTGTGTAATATCTAGATCTGTGTCCATGAGCATCTGCAGCATACCTGGAAGGTGAACAAATGTAAGCATTCCTCTGTTTTTTGAATAGCTTATAGGCTCAAATAGAATGTAGAATCAGACACGAAAATGTGCAAAGTACAATAAAATCATCAACTCCTCACCTAGGACACCATTCATTGGGGTTCTAATCTCATGGGAAACAGTAGCAAGGAACTATACCAATAACAAAATATCCCAATTAGAATATTGCATGTAAACAATATGACTAAAAGTGAAGATTGATAAACAAAACTAAAGTACCATTTACCTGCGATTTTGCAACATCTGCTGCCTCAGCCCTTTTCTTGAGTTCCATCATCTCACGATAATCATCTTCAACTTTGGCAATCCGATTTACTGTAGCATGGAATATGTGCCCAACAAGCAATGCAATCACAAGGACACCAATTGAGGTTGTTATTGCCATCCATGGCCATGGTGGCTTTTGCTTAAATCTGTTTCAAGAATGGACAAGATTTCAGAACCCATATTAATTACTTTCTGCGTCAAGCACTAAAATACTCCATTAATGGGAGGGTCAATTGATTACCTGCAACGCATCTCATGCTGCCTAAATGGGTCACCAAAGTTAAGGGTGCTTACATGGTACATCCCATTATCGGTTGTATTTGGACCATACATGCTAATTGGATCTGAAAGATTAGTTGTATCATACACATTTACAATGATAGTTTGTTTACTTGCAAGCTGGTGAAGCAACTTCTCCACAAGCGATTCAATGTCAAAGACTCCACCTAAGTACCTGCTCAGTAGTACATAAGGTAAGTCTTTCTCTCACCATCCATGTATGTATGTGTGTGGAATATGGGGGAACTAAGTGAAATCACATATGGGATGACTTGATTTGGATGATCTACTTATCCGTATTTCTATTTATGATTTACCATTCATGATTCATCTAGATATAGCCTGGATAAACAAAATCAATAATCTGATTTGCAAACAAGACCTAAGAGCTTACTGATTTAACAAATCTTTTGGCAGGACAACCAAGACCTAAGGGGTTTATACTATTGACAGGATGGAATCAGACTTGCACCTAAGCTTTTTTGTATGCAGTGCTTCCATCATCCATATGTGTCAAGACAATATTATTCAAGATCAGATTAATTCATTGCTTCTGAATAAATCTTTGTTAAAAAATCCTAAATCAGTGCTAGGCCAATTGGTCTCAATTTTTCTGACCAATTTCATTACTTAAAGGTAGCGTAGGAGGGAGAAAATACCCATGTGTTGCTTGGATGCGCTCGTTTGGGGTTGCATTTGATGGGATTTCCGACTTATAAACAGCAAATGTCAATATCACCCCTAAACGGTTTGATTTAAGTAGTCTGAAGGGAGCAGTAAGGACCCCCTTTCCTGATACTCTTGCACGTAAGACATTCTCCCGATCTTCCTGTTATATACACAAGTATTTCAACATTGGTTGATGAATTACATATACCTTTCACTCTATTACAATTTTTACATAATAAAATATCCAATACAGAAGTCACTTGGCACATTCCCTGTTACCCCTTCTCTACCCCCACCCCCCCAAAAAAAATCCCCTATTACACTATCAATGCATGATTATAAAGCAAGAAACAAGAAGATACGCACCTTCCCTGACATCATATCCAGAGAAACCACATGGGAAATGGTATCCTGTGCAAAGATAACTGGGGCATATTCTTCTTGAATGGGGGATGGCTCCTGGGGCTCGAAGGCATTGTCATCCTCCTGAACTGGGGATGGTTCAAGTGTATCCATTCTTTTAATGGTCCAACCTTGTTGTTTCTCGAATTGTTCCCTTTCCGAATGGAGAACCCTAACGGCATAAGCCACGCCACTTGTAAGTGGCCTTTCGAAAGCAGTCCTTTCTGTGTACTTTGCAAAAGTTGCCTGTAGCCAAAGAAAGATAGTTTCTTGTTAACAAATTTCAGGAGATCATTGGAAGCAACAATCCTAGCTCTCACTTAAATCAAATGCAAAAAGGAAATCTGATAAACGAATTTCAGGAGATCACAGAGGGTAATTCAAATGTAGCTCTCAAAAGAATTAAATGCTGAGAGAAATCCTGTGTGGAGCCAATTTAACTGCAAATGAAGAATTATAGACGTTATCCCAAATCGATGAAAACCTAAATACCTGATCAATAGCAGATGGATTCTTGCCATGGTGGAAGGTTGAAATCAGGATCGCTAAAGCCTGAACATGGTTCATACTCACGTTAAACTGGTCTTGCAGCATTCTGGCCCGCTCGTCACACATACTGGCGAGGGTCTCTTTCCTCTTCTCAGTCGCCTGAGAGCTCATATACAAGAAGATCCAGACCGACCCAAAGACCCAACTGACTACCCAGGCAATCAAAATCTTCCTCCACCATGATTTTTCGCGGACCTTCTTGGACCCAATATACTGGTAGTAGTGGTGATGGATCTTCCGACCACTTGCAGGGATTTTCTCCCACCAGCTGAGCCATATCTTACCTCTATCACGAAGAAAGCTAATCTTCTTCTCCATTAGTCCACCATTAATGAACCAGTTCATGGGTATCTCAGACAACATACAACAACATAGCATCAAAACCAGATGCCCTACCTTCAAATCAAACCCAAATACATGGAAATAACTCATACACGACAGAAGCCGAGACAAAACAACCATAAATGATGACAGGAGAAATTATCCCCCCCCCCCTGCTGGCTAGTTTCTACTTTCTAGGAAAACAAAGTCCACCATCAATTCTGCTAAAACTGCCTTCGTTATCCTCAAAATCAGAAACCAATAACATCCAAAAATAACTAACCAGAAAAGGAACTCCGAGTCCGAAATTGGAAAAAAAAAAAAAGAAGAAGAAGAAGAAGACAGAGAAAACACCCGTTACCAAGATCGCCACCAGGCACCAGCTAAGACTAATATTATATCGCTGCTAATAACAACTTTAAAATCCGGAATCCAGAAGAGAAGTAGCAAATTTACAGGAAAGCAGCAAAGACCCACCAGGCACCAGCTAGTTAGATCACTAATCTAAACCTCTCTACTGCATCCATAAAAGAAGAATTAATGACTCTTAATAGCCTAACTACAATTTGTAGTTCTACAGAGTCGAAAGTATCGTGTCAACTGTCAGCTAAAACCCCAGAACGAGAAAAACGATTGACAAGGAACACCAAAGTGGTACAAACATAAACAAAACAAAACCCAACAAAGAAGAATCTTTGAAGAAAATCTAGTCTCTGGCTTTGGTCCTTAAATTCCTGAAATCAAAAAGGAAGAAAATCAAGCATGTGGAGGGCAAATATTGACTCTTGACTAAAAGCTGGAAGTGAGATCGAGGCAAGCAAGCAAGAGAAGAAGAAGGAGGGCAGGAAGAGAAGGAAGCAGAAAAGACTGGATTCATGAGCACTGTGAAAGCAGAATCTGTGAGTAAGAGATGAGAAGAATATGGTTGGAGAAATGTCTGCTTGCAGAGACCATTATCTCCATCTATCCACCAAAAATATAAAAAAGAAAAACAATATACATTTATATACAAATACAGTATAAAATAGTAAATTGAACCATTACTTACAATTTACAAAACATTAATATAAAAGAAATAAGTAAAATAACAAAAATAAAAGCGCCTAAAACTAAAAGGCAACAAGGTATCCTTCCACCCAGCAGGAGGCCAGTTATCGCTTCGCTTCGATGCTGCCTTTTCTTCACCTTCTCTCTCTCTCTCTCTCTCTCTCCAGCTTATATTTTCCCATTTCTATCACTATCCATATTGCAGTGGGCAACTTCCACACGCTTACGCTATTGTTTGCGTGGCAATTCTTTAAATGACGAAAATGCCCATACAGGCAGAGTAAAATGTCGAAAATTATAGATAACGAGGTTGCCCTTTTTTTGGGGGAGGACTGACATTAGCTGCCCACGCTTTTTCTAGAATTGCCAAAAGAGAACAAGGCTCGCCGGGTGGCCGGGTAGGTGGATTGGAGCCTGGCCCCACGATAGAAACCACTCATGCTGCTCCTCTTAACTCTTATGTTATTTGTCTTTTCCGGAATCTGAACTCATTGCCTATTGGCTATGGCAGTTGTTTGGTTGCAGGTGTTGTAGTTACCAATTTACCATCACTCATCACACAGACGCAAAGATACAAAACCCGCCTTAAGGTTAAGAAGGGTAATTAAACTAGCTGCATGCAATTCGGACGAACAAAAAAAATTAAATTAAATTAAAAAAGCCAAAAACCATTGTCTGAAGAACTAAACGGATTAGCAATTTGATTGTCTGAGTTATGGGTTATTATTATTAACCAAGTTAACCATTTTTTGCCCAAAAAATGAGTTAGTGAAACGGGCCAAATAGTCCGATCGTCCAAATTAACACGATTTGAAAACATTGAAAGAAAAGAATTAAAACTTAGGAGGAAACCATGTTGATAAATAAAATGTTAACAAGCAACAGAAATATTAACGTCAAAGCCTGCCAAAATCTAACCGTATAAAATTAAAGCTGTTTAACAAAAATAATTGAATTTAATTTTAATAATTTGAGGTTTCAACCTACGCATTCTATACCAGTTTTGTTAAACCAGGATTTGACATTAAGACTGTGTTTGGTTGCAGTGCAAATTTATTTGCACTAGCACAAATGAATGGGAGTGTAAATGTAAAAAATAAAAATAAAAATGCAAATTCTTATTTAATTTTGTTTTAGATTTTACTTTATTTTATTTCATGTTTTAATTTATTTCATTTGTACTGTAATTAAACAAAAATAGATTAGAATTTACACTCAAATCATTTGCATTGCCATAGTTTTGCACCAATGCAAATTTATTTGTATTGCAATAAAATACAGCCTAAATTGTCAAAGTAGGCAGACAATTTAAGGATTAAACTCGCAAAAAAAAAAAAAACTGATAATTTAATTGTTTGACTCATAAACAAAAATCAATTAGCCCTTAACAATAATATGAAGAGAAAGGCTTTGGGGCTCCCTCAATCACCAATGGAAAATGGGCTTGAGTATCTTCTGATTAGGATTAGGAAGGAAAAGAAAGACTAAAAACTGGTGACAGAATGGGAAATTCCGTCTCCATCATAATAGGGAGGAGGAGTCAGGAGGGTGCGGCCTGCCGAAGTGGCCTTTTAGGTTTTAGTGGGGAGTATGGGGACCGAGCGCCAGCGGGCCAGAAGTGGCAGTTATGAAAATAAAGTACAAAACTAATGGCATTCGGGAAACAAGCACTTTAAACCAAGTTCGTGGCTCGTCACCAAGTGAGGAGATGAGACCATCACTAGCCACTCCTTTTTGGTGTCGATTGAAAGCGACCTCCCACGTCACCGCACCGGTTCGCTAGTCTCCACCAGTTATAAGATCACATGTGGCAGAATCAGGAACCCTGCGATAACACGCGTCTATACCCGGCGAGACAAAGCAGGGAATCTGCACTCCACGTGGAAAAATAGGACAAAAGATAAGTTAAAACGACACAAGGGTGTCGGACAGAAAGAGTCAAATACCTTCCCCCCGCCCGAATTTTAATTTTAAATTGTGATATTTTAGTTTTTTGTTCCTTTTTATGTACTTAAATTAAAAATCCCCCTTCCAAAGAAAAAAAAATCAGAAGACCAATAAAGAGAAAAGTTGTTAGACAGGAGCTACGAACACTAAATACAATGTACCTTCTTGAATTTAATGGAATTTAATAGGATTTTCCGTGGGGGTGGGGAGTACTTGAAGGCCCGAATTTGATGATTTTGACTCTTTCAATTCTTAACACATTACTTCATTTTTATATTCCGGTGTGATTAGCAGCTTATATATAAACTAACTTCCAGGCCCTCTAATAACTCCAATGTTATATAGTGATTAGTGATTCATCGCACACTTGCTGCTTTGAAATTGCAATTCCTGAATTTTGTATCTTCACTCTCCAGGTATCATTGATGAACTTGATGCACTGCGTAACCAAATTCAATTTTGGGCTTTACTCTTTTGGGGCTTTGAGTCCAAGTTTCCGGCTGTAGACCCAACTCAGTTATCAATAAAATGCATATTAAGAACGAGGAAAATGGATGTCTAGACTCTAGTTAGCGGCTGCTTGAGGAAAAAAAGACCACTTTGGTTGAACTTTTTTTTTTTAACAAAAAATAAAAAAGTGAACAGAAGAAGTGGAGCTGGGTAGGGGTTAAGGCAGGCGGGTTAGTGGTTAGTTGTTAAGTAGGTGAAGATGGACCCAGAGCTATAGTGCAACTTTTTAAGTTTTATAATCGACTTTTTACAATGCAAAATGGTCTGTTAATGCACGAGTTTTGTTTACAGGTGAGGTGGATGCCGTAACGGAACCTCCTTTCCCCCAAAAGAACAAATTGAGTGTGGTTTTCTTTTTTCTCACGGCATGGCCCCATCATCTTTGCATCGGCAACTTTTGAGGCAATAAACATCTGCCACTTGGCAAAAACATCCATTTTGTCAAGCTTCTCTATTTGAATAATTTAAAAGTTAATTAAAGGACAGAAGAAAGTTGGAGGGGCAACTTTTTTTCAAAGGGAGAAAAAGGTGAACACATTTAATGTAGTTGCATATAATACAGAGAATGGTATGGATACCCTGTAGTGTAGATGCAACTGACAGAGAAAGGGGTCAGATCAGCTATGCCTATACGTCAAGCTGGGCGAGTGTTTTGTGTGCTAGAGAGGAGTGAGAGGTCTCAAACTCTCAATTTTAAAAATGGAATCCAGATCTGAATCCTACCCACATCTATTCACAGCTGTATATTGAGTCCATATGACCAGTAACATGTAAATAGCGAAGATGTTCTTAATGTACAGCTGTAATGTCCTATTGGTAGGATTCTTGTAGGCGATGCAGGAGATCCGAGCTCTTAAAGATGGCATAATAGAGTTGGGACATGTTGAGAGAGAGAGAGAGAGGGTCTCAACCCTATTAGAAAACTTAGAAGCAGATCCGGTCTGAGCATAATATATGAGTCTGAATTTGGTTCCAATACAACCCCACAATATCCCAACTAACCATTAGAGTACATAGGATATATCTCATCATGGAATCCGGATTTGTTCCTCACACCAATTTCATACCCACATCTCACCATGTATTGGTAACATCTCCTGTATTTATATGTTATTATTGAGTTCAGATTTGTGCCCCACAACGTCTCATAGTACATCCCTGCCATATATTGGGAACATCTCTCGATGATAGTACCAGAAATGATGATGTCATCATCAGGAGATGTTCCCAATACACCACGGGGATGTGTTGTGGGACATTGTGAGACGCCCCCTTGTGGGGCGCAGATGTGAACTCATTATTATTTATTGGAGATGTTCCCAATACATGGTGAGATGTGTCAATTAGGTTAGTGTGAGGTGTACTCTATGAGAAACAGATCCCAATTCCTTAAGGACAAGGAGATATTCCCTATACACTACTACATGGTTGTTGGAGTACATCCAAATGCAATATTAACAGTTAGTCATTTATAACCACATCTACCAACAACATGATCCCAATCTCCCAACAAGTCATGATAGTTACTAATGAGGGGTAATTTGGCCCGACCTGTTAGCATGCAGACACGTGGAACGACCTGATGACTAGGTGACAACTCAACAATTTCTAACACCTCAACTAGCCAGGCAAGTTTGGGCATCTCGGGTACCTCAACCAAAACCGAGGTCCAAGCAGCTTGTGGTGTCTCAACCTGTTGAAGTGCCACGTAGCTCACTTCTGGAAGCTAATTAGCTATTTTCGACCTTTCCGAGATCACACCGCACATTAGCGAGCCTTATCCTTATTCCGCCTGGATTGGACGGACTCGATAGCCTTATCGACTCACACGAAGTCCATCTTTGGGTACGAAATAGACTCCAGGTAACGCAGGCCAAAGATCTCGGATAAGTTTCATGAAGCCTACGACAGCTTGCCTATATAAGAGGTTCACCTCCAACCTCATAAGGTACACGCATTATTTAGCTCTCTTATTCACAAGCATTCAAGCTCGCTACTAAATTCATCGCTAACTTAAGCATTGGAGTGCCCACACCAGATAAAGCACCCTGTGTCCTCTAAAAGTATTTCCTTGCGGTTCGACCAACCACATAATCGGACCGATGTCTGAACTGCCATCTTACAGGAAGCGACCAGATCATACACCATCAGTTACATGAAAGAATTTGGATTTATTACCAACAAATTCTCTTAACATTGTCCCACAAGTCATTACAATGATATACCTAGAATATTTCCCATGTATTATAAGGGAGATGTTTTCAATATATAACTGCATTGGCCTGTTGGGACGGCATTGGGAGCAATGTATTGGTAGCAGATCTCTACCCTACACCAGGAATCGTAATGAAACGTTGTTGGGACCATGAGTGGGGAACTGACAAAATCACTAGTCATTTACGCGGTTAACAACTACTATTGCAATGAACTAGTGGCCAGAGGCTACTACAGTACATTGACACATGCGATAGTTATATTTCTTTTTAATTAATTAATTAATTAATTGTTTTAATAAAGGTTTGATCAGTCGGAACTCACAGTCACAACATAAATTTCTAATAAGAAGAAGGCTTACGCTACCGGTGTTTGGTTTTAAAACATTGGCATCTTCATGTGACAATGGTGCTGTTGGCACAACAATGAATACACTGAGTCTTTTATTTTCCTCTCAACCACACTAAACACCAACCAGTGTTTAAGAGGTGTGTTATTTAATGTGGATTGTTTTCTTCAAAAATAAATTAAAACCATTTGACCTGAAAATAAATTGTTTTAAACAAAAAAAACATGAATTATGTGCCTTTTATTTTTAAAATTGAAAAAAAAAAACATATTTTTGAATTTATAAGATTTTTTTTACCATAACCCGGGGGAGGGAGATTGCCCATCCTCCAAACCCATAATCCTCCCCCAATGCAGTGCAGGTAGAGATGTTACAACCAGAACTTATCGACCAGCCAATTGGCACCTTATTCTTAAATTTACAATTTCAAAAACATGTTGTTTTAAATCACATGTTGTATTTCATCATCTTTGATGAATTATGCATATAATATTTATATTTTAACATTTTTTTTTATTTAAAATTTATCATTTTATTAAATTCAATATTTGTTTGAAATAAAATCACTGGTTTTTATTTTTTCAAAACAAAACTTTGGTTTTATTTATTTATTTTTTTCTTTCTGATGTGACAATTTCAAAAGTATTTGCATTGAAGGACAGATTCCTAGCAAGTCTTATAAGGAAATTGTTAGGAGCAAGAGGAATGCAATAAAATATTAGTTAATGTAGGTGGTGGGTCATATATAGCATCAATTCATCTGCTGACGCCACGTGGTGGTTTATTGATGCATCAACGATTGGGCCAGCCAAATGGAAGCCAAGAATCAGATTAGACGTTAACAAAAAAGACCGAAGGCAAGAGATGACGTTTAACAAAGTTGGAATAAAGGTAGGGTAGGTGCTTAAAAGGCTTTAAAAGCAAAACATCCCATCATTAGCCACATATGCTTTTATTATTTGCTTAATCATCATCATCATCATCATAATAAAAAACAATACACTATATATATTATTTAATTTTTAATTTCTTAAGTGTGGATGACGCATCATCATCCACATAATTCTTAGCGTTTCGCTTTAACTGTGCTTCTGGCTCGTGCGATATAGCGCTTGTTACTGTGGAAGAATTAAATTAACACTTTTTCTTTTTTGAAAAAAAAAGAAGAAAACATCGTTTGGGTTTAATCAATTGCTTAATAAGTTAATTTTATCTTTTTGGCTTTCAAAAAATAAAGTTAATTCTATCTGTTTTGGGGATGAATTAAGGATGAGTGATTTGTTGGAGAATCCTTTTTAATTTTATTATTCTGCTGGGGAAGGTGGGAACCACAGGAAGAAATATGTTGATGAATCCAAGCAAAGCACCGAATGGTGCAAATTGGGCTAACTTTATTGTAATTTGCAACGGACACCAAAGGCTGTAAAGATTAAGAGCCAACCAAGCATGTAAAAAAAAAATGGTACAAATGACAAAGACAGAGCGATATCCAAGTTGAAGTTGGTGCGCTAGTTGGTCTCACTCTCACATCACACATCACACAACCTCACGGGCTCACCTCACTCACAGTCACGGTCATAGATATAGATAGCAATAGCCCAGCAGCAGCCCAATGCAAGTTCAATTACAGTTTCTACTACTTTCTACATGCAGTTTTAGTTTTACACTTTTACCCCCAGGCCAGGCGGGAGTCGGGACCATCACGAGGACTGTGCATTATTAGTTATTACCATCAAGAATAAGATTAAAGAGACCCGGGTCATTGAGTTTCCGTCAGGGTCCAAGAGAAGAGAGCCGAGATAAGATGAACAGTACACTGATGTGATGACTGAACCCCAGACATTCATGACTTGCCAATTGCACATTTGCACCTCACCCAACCAACTTGGCTCCGTGTGCCGTGCGCAGCGTGTGTGTGTGCGTGTATTGCCTTTGCCATGGTCAATCAAAATTCAAAGGCCACTTACTTATAAAAGCACCACACCCAGCCAGCCCATACGAAAACAGTAAACGGATCAGAGGGTGAGGGAGTTCCAAAAAAATGAAGTTCAAATCAGTCCCCCCACAACGTCTCACGGCACATCTCTGCCATGTACTAGGAGCATCTCCCGATAATATCAAGAATGATGACATCATCATTGGGAGATATTCCCAATACACAGCGGGAAGGTTGTGGGGACAGTCTTGTGGGGGCGCTGCAGGGAGGGGGTGGTGGTGGGATTCCAGTTTCCTTACCACAAACCTCAACAATAGGACAAGCATGCCCATTTCAGTTGCAGTCTTCCCGTCCCCCCCATGCTTTTTACACTTGTCATAGTTAATTAGTTGGGCGTTTTCTTTTTCTTTCTAGTGGCATTGCCATTGGATTATTCCTTTCTTTTAATGATGTCTGACAAATTTCTTGTCTCCATCAAAACTGGACCTTCCTCCACTGTCAACAATGGAAACACACCTATTGTTACTACTTTGAATTAAAGAGTAAGAGTTCTAACTTTATAGACATGTTTTTCAAACTTGGGAGATGATGCTTTTCTTTTTTATCTAATAATAATACCCGCACGCCAGTTGCCTTCAATTAGAGAGAGAGATAGCAACTTAAAACAATCTCTAAAACTAAAAGTCTAAACTCCACTCCACGCAATGCGCTGACAGCGCTGTTATAAAATAAAAACCATTCAAACAGAAACGCTTCTCCCTTTTAGCCACCCACATTGATGATAATTGGAATTGTTAGTTATCTTTCACCAAATTAGACACCGAATATTAATAACCGACCACAAGTTTCACACACAAAAAAAAAGAGACCACACGTAAACCCCGTTTGATAAGAAACTCTCTGCATTGTTTTAAAACTTAAAAGGTTGGGGATTTCTCTTATCCTCATTTTTTTTTTGTCTTTCTTTTCTTTCCTTCATCTTTTTTTACTTAAAAAAAAACTTGAAACACAGGCTACCTTATCTTACCCCTCAGTAGACGCAGAGATTGCAATTTGCAAAGCATAAGACACAAATTTCATAAAAAAAAAATTTCTTCCACGCGACTGGTTGCACCAAAAACAATTTAAACACCCAAAAACGATCTTAAAGAGTTAAATCAGCCAATAAAAGTCCTGTCCTATTGAAAGTGAATGAGGCTCCCGATTGCATTGCACATTTGCACTCATGTACATATCATATCACAAAAAAACCTCTTCTGCTTGGAAAGTTCGATGATTCCTCCTGCGCTGCCGCAGGCACTGGAGTCCTTTTAGTATTTTGTGATTCCTGCCTAGATGTAGATGATTTGGGCTCCATTAATAATGTCTTTTGGAATGTCTGTGAAAACCCAGTGGCAATTATCGTGACATGGACCTCACCGCTATATCTATCATCTATCACTGCTCCAAAGATAATATTTGCAGATGGGTCTGCCAAACTGGTCACAATCTGCAGGCAGACGGACAAATGCAGCGTTAATTTTTGCTCGAGGAATAAAGATTCAGAAAGAAAAATAAGTAAAGGGAATACTTGATACAGAAGTTCTCTTGACCGTATGTGCACAAAATGTGGCACATACAGAGATAAGTGGTACAAGAATAAAACCAGATTGGATGGTCCTAATCATCTGATAAAAACTCTGTTCAAATTTCCGTTGGCCAAATGGGTGTCATACTGTAATGCATAGGATGGTTAGAATCAAATAACTAGCGTCAAACTTTTAGCTATCCCCTATGTTGGGCTGGATGTGAAACATCAAGCAGATCCGAAACCCAATGAACTAGACTTTCTATGGATATAAAATTGATCAACTGAAGACGTTGCCATGTTTCCAGAAGGGTCCAAAAGATAAATAACAGAAACTCACAAAATTACTACCTGTGACACCCTGTTCACTTCTTGCAAAGTCAGGTCCTTCCCTCCAGTAATATTGTAGACTACACCCGTTGCCCGTTCTATTGACCTTTCAATCAAGGGAGCTGATGTTGCCTGTAGAGCCGCTTCTTCTGCTCTATTCTTGCCACTGGAAACCCCAACCCCAAGCATTGCAGTGCCAGAGTCTTTCATTATAGCCTTTACATCCGCAAAGTCCACGTTTACTAATCCTGGAATCTGTATCTCAATATGCAAAAGGTAACCCAATTCTTAAAAAGTCCTACACCAAATAATGATAACTTATTCAATTTATTCAACACAATTTAGACCTCAATCCAAGAGACTGGGTAAGCAGAAACTCACAGTAATTATGTCAGAGATTCCTTGAACACCTTCACAAAGTACATCATCAGCAAGAAGGAAAGCTTCTTGTAGAGGTGTCTGTGCAGTTGCTACATCAAGCAACCGATCGTTGGGTATGACTATAAGAGTGTCCACAGAATCTTGCAATTTTCCAATTGCTTCCAAAGCCTGAACCAATTAAGTATTTTTAAAAGATATGAAAACCAAAGCTCTGAATTTGATAGGGAAAAACTAAAGTCATAAACATTATGTTCCTACTTCCTAGACATGGCACACATGTGGTTGGCCCCATCAGCAACCATTTTGTGTGTCACAAAGTCAATATAGCTAGATCAGCCCTGGATTTTCGATTTATCATATCATTTGGTTGGCATAAAGAATACCGCTAGAAGTACAGGGAAAATCCAATGGATTTGAACGACAGTGGATCATCATTATCATCTAAGCCTTGTCCAAACCAAATTATTCTATCCACTATTTGATGGATAGTGGATATCATGAAATAATCCAGCATGAAGGAATCAGCATACACTGTCTAAAGTGCCAGATTAATTGAGAAGTGGATCCTGCTTCCTTGAAGGTGAATTCAGGAGATCTGGGGAAATGACAGAAAAATAGGTGGAGCACTAGAAAGGCATGGCAGTATGACATTCAGAAGAGTTTTTGAACACATCAGAACCAGTAGAGAATGAATCTTTGACAGATAATTCACAGGTCAGATGAAACATCAACAAGAAAGACCAGTTTTGAATGAAGTTAGAAAAGTTTTGACAATGCATCTTTGACAAACCTGTACAGCCCTTCGGCGACCTTCAAAACTGAATGGGTAAGTGACCACACCCACAGTCAAAAAACCAGCTTCTTTGGACAATCTAGCCACAACAGGAGCGGCACCAGATCCAGTGCCACCACCCATCCCAGCAGCAATAAAAACAAGATCTGAATCGGCAAGGACTTTGCAAATTGCATCTTTTGATTCCTCAGCAGCTTGCTCTCCTAACTCTGGGTTACCACCAGTACCTGTATTTCTGAATAAAAGATTTGTCACTTGAGAATTGAAACAAAATTCATATGCAGTTAAAAACCAGCTTTTCCTCTGTTTAATCCGTTGACATCCTTAGAACTTTCCAAACTAAAAGTTCTTCAGGAAGATTAAATAGACCTGTTGCAGAACAAATCTTCCTTGGAAAATTGCACTGAACTAAACAATCAACCATACCTAGACCACAAGTCAATTTCTCCCCTATTTGGACTTGTCTCTTCGTGCTTGATTGCAACAAGGCCTGAGCATCAGTGTTTATGGCATAGAATTCAACTCCCTAGAAAACAATTGAGAATCTTTATACACTTGCATGAAAACATAGCAAGAGCACAATAACAGAGTAACACATGCAACAAAACCAAGTTAAGCTTACTTTTTCTAATAATCAACTGACAAGTGGGAAGATTCATCAACACAAGAATAATTTCCGCTATTTAGGAAATCACAGCAACAGGGGCCACAAGATAGATGATATACAATACAGCAAATGCTGAACAATAATTTAAAATAAAAAAAAATGCAAAGAGAGGTATACAAATCTGCTCCTAGCCCTGGCAAGTGGCAACCCCAAGTCCCCAATGCTCATTATGGTTATGGTCCTCCAACCCCTTTATGAGAAAATGGGATCTTCCAACTCCATGCCTAGCTAAGCTAAGGCACTAGTAGATCATGGAATCCACTTGAATAAGGTATTCAAGGAAGAGGCTATTGACTAAATTTCTCTGAGCAAAACTAAATACCCAAGGACCATTCACCAAGAAAAGCTCCAACCAATACCAGTTCAGCAGTCCCCTCGCAATTGCTATCCTGTTCCAGCCTGAGACATGACCAGTTTTAAACCTTGAAGAAGTGCTAACAACTCAACCCTAATTGAAATGCCTTCTCCAATTTTATTTTTGTTAAACACATGGTACACTTATAAGCTACATTATGGATTATATTAATGTAGGAAGTTAATTCTATTTAATTCTATGATGCCCAAATAGGGATAGAGACGGGGAAAACAGATATGGGAAATGGGAATATGACTCCCCATTTCCTAAAATCCTGGGCACTGATACGGGTATGTGTATCCCATATAACCTACTTGTGTCATGCTTTTATATCTAGTCTTTGAAGCTAAGTGCCATTTGCTGAGGACTTATTCTTGCCAAGTTTAATTAAATTTCTCATATATATAGATTTAATTATATGGACAAATGCTACATATCTTTTATTATGTCTCATCTAATGTGTAACTCAATTTTTGCATAAATATGAAATTCTATATTATTTCCAATTGTTTATTTATTCAAGTTTCTTGCCACCCAGGCATTACATAAGTATTACTTGGGCCACACCTAAGCCTAGGCAGTCCAAGACCCCAGATAGCTTGAACCAGCATTAGGTTATGGCCTTTCTTTATGTATCTACATGGAGTGCAAGGCCAAGTGTTCTGCTCTAACATCTATTGGCAGAAATATAAAGAATCAATGACTGACAAAAAAGTTCAAACACAGTATCCATCTATTTATATATCCATAACCATTATATCCTAAATTTAATCCAATGAGGAGTGATATCTTTTTTACTATTTTATTATATTTTGCTTTTAAGTTAGTTAAACCCTCTTTATAAGGAGAACGGGAATGTGGATTGAAGCCTGAAGGTAGCACAGAAAGACTCATTAGAAAAAGGATATGTCCATAGAAAAAATGGATAAGTTCACCGACACCAAATAGTTGGGATCAGGCTTAATTAGGTTGATTTGGTATTTTTAGCTTGACTATAAACCAACCATATCCTGAGATATTTGAATACAGTAACATCACCCCTTTTGCTAGACTAGAAAACCATATACTATAATTTCCTTGATAGGTAGAGGAATACACTAACATAATGTCTTTAACAAGTAATAGATATATACCATCTTTCTCCAAAAGAATAAATAATTAAATAAGTACATATAAATATAAATGCATTTTCCATATCTATGAGAAGGACCGACAATTTCAGGTTCAGGGTCTTGGAGACTGGTAAACAATCTCAACAAGGATCGACACTATCTCAACCTGGCTAACCTCCAGGTTCAGGGCATTGGAGGTTGCCTTTTCTTTTCCCTAATGTATACACATGAGAGAAGTTTCTTTAAGGACAAATAGTCCCATGTAAATAATTTTCTTTTACATTCCACATCAAAATGGATTATATTAAATAGGGAACTACCAATACAAGGTTTCTGTAGGAATAACATACTGGGAATTAAACATATGGCCAACCAGAGGGTCCGGTGGACAGTTTCAATTGCCTACCTCATCTACCTATCTCACAAAAAATAGTAAATTGTACGGGGAAGCTCCCCACTTGCCTCCTCTTCTCAATTTCTGATTTGGCAGAGAAGTTTTCCATATGCCAGCTATCTTTAGTTCTTTACTATATAATGCAGATACTTGCCTTGGCTTCACATCTAGAGCATCATGTGGAAAATCCAACCCATGTATTTTCCTCTCTCTCCCTCCCCACACTCTCTCTCTTCATTTGTGTTCCTCTCTTCAAACTCATGTCCCTCTCCTCCTTTTCAACCAGTGTCCAGCAGTTGCATTGACAAATTTGGCATACAACTTCCCTCTAATAGAGCTGTGTCTGCTAATCATAAACTTTAGTGTGAATCTTGTTTTTGTTATTTATTAAGACAAGAAAAGCACAATGTTTGGTTCATGTCATAAGAGGAATACCAGAGTATAGAAGGTGTTCTTCCAGACCTAACAATGTCTTATAATTGAGCTCTTATTGATTATTGCAGGTTTTGCAACAAACATACTACAAGACCCACCCAATGAATGCATGCTCTGGGAACAGGTATTTTGGTCAATATGCATACAAAATAATGATTAAAAATAAAATAACCTCCATTACTCTTTGAGAAGGCTTCAGCTATGGTATTGGCAACTTGTGTATGTCCTTGCAAATAACTAGAGAATATATCATAATAATTCCCAAAAGGCATATCATATAGAAGAGAAAAGACAACCCATGCATGATAGCTAGTAGCAAGGTGAATATGTTTTCTAATGAACCTTGAGTGGAATATGTTATATTTGGCTAAGCTTTGACATCATTAATCCAAATTGTGTGGTTATCATGAAGTTGTTGGTCCAAATAGTTTCACCACTAGTGGGAGGAACATGTGGTTTTGCACATGGATCCAAAATAACAACTACCTTAGTGATGCACAACAAAAAGAAATTTCCAAAATAAAACTCAAGAAACTAAAATGTAATTTTAATAATACATAATACTCAAGATGCATGAATATCAAATAAAGTTCAGGAATGTTGGTTCACTCTATCACCTCTACTCCTCAATGAAGGGTGGTTTTCATCAATATTCAAAATTGTATTATGGATTGGGAAATTCCCACAATTCTCATTTATATCCCGCTTATTTTTTGGCCCTCCGTCCATGTTTATTAGCTTTTGGCCCCGCTGAGAAAAAAATTCCCAGCTCCGCCCCTGGTTTAGAGGAAATGAAATTGAACTATTCCATTTAAACCCCATATTATCTTGCAGAATTCATAAAAAAAAAAAGAAAATAATACTCGTAATGCAAAAGACAAAGAAGATCAATCTTCTTCTGAGCTATGAAACCAGAGAAGATAACAGAAAAAAAGGCAAGAAACATCGATCGATAAGAACCTGAAGACCGCTTTCTATCATCCGATTAACGGCATTGTTTCCGCCACCTCCGACTCCGATGACCTTGATTCGAGCACTGTTGATGGGAGCGGAGAAAGAGCAATAACAAGCTTTGTTCAAAGAGAGGTATCGGCATTTGTAAGTTTTGCTGGTAACTGAAAAGAGGAGATCGCCGTGGGAGAAGGGTCTAAGGATAGACAATGATTTTGGTCTAATGGAGAAGGTAAAGGAGGGAAACAATGAAGGACACGCCGCCGAGCGTCTCGGAATCGGACGATGGTAGAGAAGCAGGTTCTGGCAGCACTGCATCTCTCTTTCTCTATCTCTCTCTCTCTCCCCCCACTACAGCGCACTATAAGGTAAGTCAAAAAGGATAATTCCTGGTCTACTTTTTTGTTATAATTATTTACTATTTATTCCAAGCGATGATTTTTTTGAGATCGTATGGGCTACACGCTCTAAAATGCGGGTAGCGCTGGGAGTACAATTTTTGTCTCTTGCAGCTGCAAGAATCGTTGGGGCTTTCGGACGTTATTTCTTCTTATTTTTCGAGAGGATAAATCATATATCTTTGGGATTTTTGAAGCATGAATTTGAGTAGTCTGCTACTCCCTCCAATTCCCCCAATCTGGGTCTATAAGGGTTCAATTCGTTCAACCTCTCCACGCCCCTTTCAAATTCCAATAGCTTGCATTCAGAACTCCGACGGAAAATCCTTTCTTCTGTCCAATCTCATCTCCTTAGCCGTCGCTGTAACTCTAAATTCTCCTTTACCTTCCCTGGCAATTCCCTCACTGAACTCTCAGACTCCACTTCTCCCTTCCACCACTCCCTTCTCACAGTCTAAGAACTTAGAGATTGGACTAGAAGATGGGTATTAGCTTAATTCTCTTTCTCTAGCGGGTTCTCCTCTCTTACCTCAATTATTCATAGAATGCTATTTTCTTGCAGGAAAATCAGGCCATGCCCCTCCATAAATCCGGGTTGCATATCGACAAATCCCAAGTCATCATCTTTTGCATTCCCATGGGTGATTCCTGCTAATGCTTCAGAGAATGCAGTTGAGGTGATGGAATTTTTTTTATAACTTCTAAACTATGTTTATCGGGATGTGTGTGGAATTCGAGTTTTTCTTCTTTTGTTTCTTGCCTGTGAACAAAATTGAAGCTCGTTTAGTTCTCTGTTTCTTTTTCCCAGAAGTTGCAGGAAGCTATCTTGAAAACCCAGAAAAATGCGAAGATTCAGACTATTGAAAATACCCCAGACGGTAACTAGACTAACTAACAAACTTTGAGCAGTGGTCCAATTTCTTAGTTTGCATTCTATGATGATTGTTACTGATTGGGTATGTCCATTTCACATCATGAGACTTCATATGTTCATCTTAAAAGATTCATCGTGAGCATCTATTATCTAGTTTCTTCTCTCTTAAATCATTACTGAGTAAAGGCTGCCTAAAACAGGCCAATACCTACGAGCAGAGGTTGATGGGGATTTCGGCCGGCCCCGGGATGTGCTAGAATTTCTGGTGAAAGGAGATGTAGTTGCTTACAGATGCATGGCCACAAAAGTAACTTATGTGTACCCTTTCACCACTGCCATAGGGGATTCCAAGGGACAGCAGGAAAGATTGAAGAACATCATGGATCAGCTGGGGTGGTACGCGCCCAGTTTCGATTCTATGGATTGATGTTTCGTTATCTTATGCTCATAGTTTGTTATTTCTGTCACTCTCTGTTTTTGGGTTCCATTTGGCAGTTCCGTTGGATTACTGTCATCTTGAAACGAATTGAGTTGTCGATGACAATATTCCAGTTGAAATAACAGTGCCAAGTGCTTATTGGCAATACTGTACATTATTTGGTTGAAGCTACAATTAGATGTAGCTCTAAATTCTAATTGGGCAACATTCACAATTCTGCTTACGAAACCCTTGCACATTTTGGGGTGTCTGGGACAGTGGTGATGTGTTGTCTTGATCAATACAAATTATTTGTGAGAAAGTGATTAATCTATCATAAATATTTTAATATTTTTTTGAATTGTTCAATACAAATTGATATTTTTATCTAAGATGTTTCTTATATACATGCATTTTTCTAGTTCAAAAGACAGTCATGTATGATATAACAAGTTAACAATTAACACATATTTATCATAAATCTGTGCTTATCAACGCAAAATACAACAATAATACAATGCCACTGTATTAAACACCCCTTGTTGTAATCAAGGAGGAAGTGAGGAAACAAGGATACTTAATGGTTTTCTAGCACCGTGTCTGCCATAAAAACATAAAGATGAAGAGACCATGACCATGGGATCGTCTGCCACGATGTATGTAGATATATTGGTGCTGGCGCCCAAGGCTGTTGTTAGACTTTCGGTTTGGGCCTTAGTTGGGTTTTGGTGGGTCGATATTGAAAATTATCTAAATGGGTTAACGAATTATTTTTAATTCTAAAAATAATTCTTGCCTACCACCCTTATTTGTGTGTGTATTTTTATATATTTTCTAAAATTTTATTATTTAATTATGACAACATTCGTTAACCCATTTACTCAAACGAATTGACCATGGTGCAAGTCAACTAGATTGGGCTGGATTTAATCTTAACCCAAACCTAATCCTATGCATTGGACTTAAAGATTTAGACCAAAGTCAAGCCTAATTTGTCCAAATTAGGCCCTACTTACGTTGAAATTTAATACACTTGAGTTAGGACTTGATTATGTCAATTAGCCTCATGACAAAATTTGACATAAAATGTATGTGTATAATCATACATATGCATGTATGCAGGTATGTGTTATATATGTGTTTGTGATTGTATGTATATAGTCAGGCTTGACTTTAACTACCTAAGGGCTAAGCTTGGGTCTAACCTAAAAAATAAAAAAGGCCAAACTTTTAAGCATAGGCTTAGGCCCAAGTTGAGAGCTGAAAATCGAATATAGCCTGTCTAAAATTACAAGTTGGGTCAATTTGAGTTCAAGTTAAACTCACCTAATTTGCCTCCTTAATGATCATTGGCCATCAATTAGATGCAAGAATAGTTTTCTTTTTATTTTAGTTTACTTTTTAATTCTATTTCTACCATTAATAAAAATAACTCTTATCTATCACACTTATTTTTGTTTAATATGATGAATATATACTATTAGAAATGTACTCAAATGCTTTTTTACAAAATTACTATGTTTTTAATATTTTTTGTGCCTTTATATGTTTTTAAAATTTTATTATTTAGGGAAATTGTCTAAAACTCACCATGAGTTTTCAATATTTCTCTTAAACTCACCACAACTTTTCAAAATGTCTAAAACTCACCATGTCAATAAGTTTTTATTTTCCAAAACTCACCTCCGTTAGTGCACCGTTAATGCTTCTTAACAGAGGTGTCCATGTCAGCATAACTAACAAGTTTCATGACCAAATTACCCTTGAATGGTGAGTTAGAGGAAAATTGGTCTTTTTCAGTTTTCAAATTTCTTGTTTTTTTTTTTGCATTTTAATGTTTTTTATAATTTTTTTACATTTTTCTATTTTCTACAATCTATAAATTTTTGGTGTTTTTTTCTACAATTTTTATATTCTGATATTGTTTTTCAATTTCTATAGTTTCCATAATTTGAAAATAATTTTTTATTTTGTTTGCAATTTCTATAATTTTTTATATTTTTTGTAATTTCTATGTTTTTATGATGTATTTTCTATTTGAAAATATGTTTTTGAACTTTTCCTTTTTTCATGTCAAAATATTAAAATGGTAATATATTAACACCAGTTAATTTATTTTTTATATATTATATATTTTTCTATGAAGGCTAAAATGGTAACATATTAACACCCGTTAGTCTATTTAACGTCAAGTTAGTGACATGGTGAGTTTTAGACATTTTGAAAAGTTGTGGCGAGTTTAAGAGAAATGATGAAAACTCATAGTGAGTTTTAAACAATTTCCCTATTATTTATTTATTATATCATGGGTTGATTCATATGACCTTAAAGGTTGAACCATTGACCCACTACTTGAATAGGAAAATGGTTTCATTTTGGGGTCAATTTTAAATAATTTCCATCGAATAAAAATACTTTTATTTATCATGCTTATTATTGTTTGATATTATATATAGATAATATTAGAAATGTGCCTAAATTTTTTTCACAATATTTTTTTTATGATTTTTATAATATTTATATTTATGTTTATTTTTAAGTTTTTATTATTTAACTATGAGAACATTAATTAACTCATTTGACGTGGATGGCTAAACTACTATTTGCCACTCAAACAAAAGGGTGGTTTGTTTAATTATTTTCCATGTTGGTTTTGAACATAGGTTTTAAATTATTAAAAATATTGGATATAGATTTAATTTGTAGAATTTATTGGTGAGAAACAAAAACGATTAGAATAAAGTATCCAAGGAGAGAGAATAAGAATTAATAGCAATACCTTAACAAGAGGGAATTTAATAAAGTGGAAATTAATAGTACTTCAAATTACACTTTTTAGCCAAAGAGGGACTAAATTCATAGATAAGGGTGTTTTAGTCAAGAAAAGTCCACAATTCTCATTTATTTAATGTGCCTTAAATATATTATTTAATGAAAGGGAATGAGAGTTAATACCTTAAATATAGGACTTAATGATGAAAAATATAATGAATTTGATAAAAGTATTGGTTAAAATTATGTTTTTCCCTCATAATAAAGGGGGACCGATTTTAAAAAATAAATGTTTTCTAGTAAAAAAAAATCAGAATCTAGACCTCATTCACACTTTTAATAGTAATATAAATAAAAGGATAATGACTTATATATATACCTTGAGGTTTGAGGAAACTACTTATATATAACCTATAGTTTCAAAACCTACTTATATATATATATGTTGTTGACTTTTCAAACATTAACTCTAACTGATGATGCACAATCCGGTCGGTCCTAGCTGTCGGTTACCTTGCCTCTGATGAAATTGGAGGTGCCTAAAAGAAGGAAGAAAATGGAGACTTTCGGGGAGGAACCCGGTTAGAACACTCCGAATCTCAAGTTAGTGCTCTTGAGAAGGCAAGGGGAATGAGGGACTTCAAGACCAGAAAGCACAAGAATCACGTACCTTTTTCTTTGGGGGAAGGGGACCTTTTATAATCACCCTGGTACACTCACTCCCATACCTCTGCTGGATCGGGTATCATCACCTCCGCCAGATCAGGTGTCATCATTTCTGCCAGATGCTAGTTCAGGTGTCATAACCGCCACTGTCTTCCTTGTCGGGGCCGTCTTTGCCACCTCTGAGATGGCGGTGGCAGGTGGCCGTTGGAGGGCGGCTGTCATGTGTCGGACCCCTAATTAGTCAGGTGCGCCGCCTCCGTGTATGGGCTTCCTTGGCGTCAGGTACGGTTGTTCAGTCAGGCAACTTGGAGCCGAGGTGGTGTAAGAGGTGAAGTCTTGAGTTCGGATAGAAGTGTGGCCCGAACTGCCCCAAGGTGGGTCAGCTCGGGTTTTTTTCCCTTTGCGCTCCTCGTAAGGCTCAGGGCCTCAAAGGGAGAGTTCGGGTTCCTCCTTGGGGAGCTCGGGTCGTGGGCCCGCTGCCATGCCGAGCTGGCGCTCCTACCAGGTCACTCTCGGTTGCTTCCACGTGTCGCACGGCCAAGGGATCGGGCCAAATCTTCCTCCATCACTAACAAATAAAAATTAAGGCTCATTTAGAAAAGAGTACAAATACAAATATGTAGAGTCCAAAACCTTATATTTTTATATGTGTTTGTATTTCTACTCTCTCCACAAATACAAATTTTAGAGTGCAAAACTTTGTATTTTGTATTATTTTGCATGTATTTGTACTGTACATATTTGTATTTGTATTCTTTCCAAACTGAGCCTAAGTTTGTGTTTGGTTGCAGTGCAATTTTATTTGCATTAATACAAATGCATGGAAGTACAAATAAAAAAAAATGCAAATTTTTGTTTAATTTTGTTTTGGGTTTTACTTTATTCTATTTTATGTTTTAATTTATTTATTTGTATCGCAATTACACAAAATAAGCTAAAGTTTGAAACAAAAATATATCAAAATTTACATTCAAATCATTTGCATTGTTATGGTTTTACATCAATTCACCAACACCCAACATTTGCAATGTTCAGTCAAATTCAGACAAAATCTTGAATGGAGCTGGCCCTTATTGACTCGCTTCCTACCATGGCTGCAGCCCCTACTTCCTCATTCGAGTACAGGTAGAATAACCAATAGGGTTCGTAAAAGAGGGAGAAGCTACTGGGAGGAGGATGGGAACGATGGGGAGTGGGGATGGGATTGTCCATGGCTTTGTTTCTGCTGGTTTTGAGAAAAAAAGGGGATTGGGAAGAAGAGAAGAGAGTGTTGCCCACTAGAGAGGAGGATTGTGGGATTTAAGTTGAGGCTAGGGTTCAAAGGTCTTGATGAATCAATTTTTGGTGATGTATCAATTTTTTGTGCTAAGTACCTCATCATTTGGTCTGCTTCCAAGTGGTCGATGACTCAGAAGCCGAAGTGAATGTTTACTAGATGAGGACCTAGATGCCGAGCTGACCAGGCCGAGTTGGGGGCAGATTAGGTGTCGAGTTAACTGGGTCGAGCTGGGCAAGTTAGGTGCCGAACTGACTAGGCCGAGCTAGGCAGGTTAGGTGACGAGCTGACTAGGCCGAGCTAGGCAGGTTAGGTGACGAGCTTACCAGAAAGCCGAGCTGCCTATTAGGTGCCAAGCTGACCAGAGGGTCGAACTGCCTATTAGGTGCCGAGCTGACCAGAGGGCCGAGCTGCCTATTAGTTGTTGAGATGTCTGGTGGCAAGATGGATTGATTGTTGAGCTTCGTAGTTCTTTAGAGACATGCAAGGAATCAACGTCAGAGGACCCGGGGTGGCTAACCCGGCGATGTCGCTCTGATGCTTAAGTCAGTACTCTCATAGTAGACTGCGAGCTAAAAATCACAAAGTATGAGAGCTAGAATATGCTT